TTCCAAAATTCCAAAATAAACATGCTTCTGCTTCTGTGAATCTTGCCTTCACTTCCCATGAAATGTTCCGCCCGTTTCCTTTAACCAGTTGCTTTGCATTTCTCCTGTCAACAGGAGTTTGTGAGGACTACTACTTCTATTCCCCGTCTTTCATACCCGATGTAGACTAGATGGGTGCTGTGTGAATACCATGGGGCGAATGGGTGTCAGTTAGCCAGACCTTCTTTGTTCTTTCTCTTGATAATTTCCTGAATTCTGATTCCAATCCATTGTTTTCCTTTCTCTTTTAGCTACCCTACCTCACTCTGTCTCATCTACTCAAAACAGCCCTCCATGTTCTGGACAAAGTTTCCAGCACTGAAGCCCACAGAATCCATTTTGTATGCAGTTATTTCTACCTTCTAGTCTACAGTCAGCTTTCCCCACTGCATTTCCTACCTTTCTTCTTATCTGCTCCAAATTATACTGTCATCTCTCCCTTCTTTGTCTCACTGGAGCATAGTGTCTGTGCTGATGCTGTAGCCACATCTAAGTGGAAGGTCCAGTGAATAAATGGTTAAGTCAGGTCTGCCCCACAACCAGACTTAGTCTTCTATCCTGCATCTGTATATTCATTTGAACACTTTCCTTCACAAAAATAGATGCTTTGTGTTCTTCCTTTTACTCATAGCTTTTGCTTCATTTTGCCTATATGTATTTTTATAAATGACAGTCTTGAGAATGAGAACCAAATGAGTTTGCCCTTGAAAATCATGGGCAGGCTAGGCCAATCATTGCATGGGTGGTCATATTCTGTTGGCATAGAGAGAACACATGTGTAGCAGATTGTGATTTAAAAATTATGTTATGTCACAAGTCACTGTAGTCTTTGTTAGTCCTTTCTTCCTGGTTCCCAACTTCTAATAGAATGAAAAGAAAACCTAATTTACACTGTGTTTAGGCAGATTAAATGTAATAATATGTGCAAAGCAATAACTGGCAGAAATGTATTAAGTATCCATTATTGCCATGGTTACTATTACTATAGGTATGTACCAGTTGAAGATGATATTGATTCATCTTCTAGTATTAATGAGTTTCATTTAACTGTATGGCTAATTTCTAGCTGAATAAAACTGAATCTAGAAGTTACCTATTAGCTTTACTATTAAGTAGAAATCCTTTCTCATTACCTTCCAGTATTCTATTAGTAATTTTTTTTTTTGTCTTATAACACGATGCTGGTAATTGCTTCCTTTTTCAAATTTCACTTGTCAGGGAGCCAGTTGCTGCAAGTGTTTATGAAAAGAAAAATTAGGAAAATGTTCAGTCCTCTCAACTTAGGCCTTTCCACACAATTTCGCAATGCAGAATATGAATTGAATTCCAAATGGTTACAGTAAGCAGAGCCTGCCATTTGTTACTGTCCAATACACTAGAAACCTGGAGGCTCTATCTTGGTCTGGCAAGTTTCTAACATTCCCTATTTTCATACATTTGTTTATTTTTATTGAATATCTATGTTCTGTCAGAACAGAGAGGTGGCAGGCTCAAAAGTACCTGATCTTTGTAACAAAGCAAGCAATAAGGGGCTAGGATTGTGGCTTTGTTAGTGGAGTGCTTGCCTAGACTGCACAAAGCCCTGGAAGAGAGCCTCAGAACTATATAAGCCAGATGTGAGCATACAGAAAGGAAGTGAAGGCAGCAGGAGGACCAGGTTCAAGGTCATCCTCTGCTTTGTATTAAGTTTGAGGGCAGCAGAGACTACATAAAGATCCAGTTTCAAAAATAAAAAAAAAAGAGAAGAAGAAGAAAATTGAAGTCCACTGAGCACCTTCTGAGAAGAGCATCTAGTTAGGCTTTTGTGGAGCAGTAGAATGACACAGTGCAGACCACTCTTTGAATTGGGTGTCATGTGCTTCTTTTGTCTCTTTGAATTAACATCCCTGGAAGATGATTTACTGTGCAGAAATTTTCTCATTTTTCTCATTCCCACTGAAATGATGAACTTGTCAACAAGATGCAGCAACAAAACCATCAAGAATTGATCATAGGTACTTGAAACATACCTATCACCCTTCACACTAGGAAAGACAAAGTTAGAAACAGCACTAGTGATCCAAGTAAGGCCCAGATGTTGACAGAAGAGTAACCCACTGCCAGAGACTGAAGTACCAGAAGAAGAAAGGTTGTCTGTGTCAATTCTAACAGGTAATACTGATGCTGTGATGTTCTTGGTCATGATGGTCAAAGACAACCATCTAGTAGGCAAACTGTCAGACTGTATGTAATTCCGTGATTTGCATTTCGTGTATGTAAAAATAAGTCTTATGAAATGAGTGCTATTATTTTATGTTAGGGCTTCAACAAATAGCCTTATATTATTGCATCCTCAACCTGAAATTGAACCCACACTCAATCCCTAGTCCCAATGCCGCACTGATAGACTAATGACTTGGTCTCTGAGGTCAGAAGAGAACTGTTTTCTAGAACTGTAGCAGCCCTTGGACAGAGCTGGACCATTATCAATCTGACCTCGTTTGAAGGGCTTGAATGCAGCCTACTTACAGAATGACAGAAGACAATTTTGCTGTAAATTGGTTATAGCAGTACTAGCATTTAACCTTCCCAGGAAGGGGAGAAAGATAAAATATCAGAGTGAAATACCATGTTTCCCAAAGCCAGTTTCTGGAACTCCTCCATGCTATCCAACCCATGCACATATTGTATTGTAGACTAGAAAGCTAAGCAGAAGAGAGGATTATCACAGTTGGTGGGTGGACCATGGGCCCTAAATATTTGTTTAATATCTGTATGGCTCTGCTGCTGGGAAGACTCTAGCCAGCAACTCAGAGGAGAAAGGCTAACAGCCTCAAAGCTCCTTTTAGTGGGCATGGATCCTGCTTGAGTTTGGTCTTTTAACACCTTTACTTCAGGTTTAGCTGTTAGCACCCACCACCTATGATTATCAGCCATTCAGTTAATGCTCTGGTAGACACATTCCCTAGTATTTAGCTAAATTACCACCTAAAAGAACATAAGGCTCATGAAGTGATTAGTGACATCATTGAGATAGTTCTACCTAACAAAGCAAATTTGAAAATAATACATCATGAACCTTCCCACTAAAGTAAACCTGCCATTGGGAATATAGGATTGTATATGTGCCCACACAGGTGATTGTGTGTGTTTTTGTGCGTGTGTGTGTGTGTGTGTGTGTGTGTGTGTGTGTGTATGTATGTAGTGCAGTTATATAAAACCTGTTCTTGGGAATATAAAGTATAAAATTACAAACAAAGTAAAATTTAGTATTATAGGAAAAGTTAATTCAAGCATCAGTAAAAAATATATTTTATTGACTTTAGGTTTTTCCATATTTAGTTTCTTTGGAAATAAAAAAATGCTTCTTAAATGATGGCCCTTTATAAATCCAACCAATCACAAATGATGCCTGAGTATGGTGTCCCTTGTAAAACACTAAAAAGGTAGTGTCATTAACATGAGGGAGAGAATCATTTCTTCACCTATCTCCCGACTATACTCTGGTTCTGTAAACCTTTCTATGAACAGTGTTGCGATGAGATCTTCCTGCTGCTTTTTTACCTCCTCTCAAAAGACTTCCTCCACTTTGTTCAGTCCACCCTAACCTCTTGTTTGAATCTACCATGTGTCCATCTCCAGGTTCATGTCTTACCCATGTCCTCTGCTAAGACAGCTTTGACCGAGCAGAACCCATGTCAAAATCATGTCTCAGTTTTAATGGTATTTCCTTACTGAGGTTTCCTTTGGCTACCTTGTCTAAAATTTCAGTAGCCTAACATTTTCTCTCTAGTGTTAGGCTTTGTTTTCTACTTTAGCTTTTATACTAGTTGATGGTTCATATTTTATTTATTCTGCTTATAGTTTGTCTCTCCCCAGGAGCGAATAAACTCTAGGAAAAGCAAAGATTTTGTCTAATGTTTTCACTGCTGAATCTTCCAGTCCCAGAGGCATGTCTGGCACAGACGGGACACTTAATAAATTATTCTGAGTTTATTGACAAACGCATACAGATGTGAAATGTCTCAATATGCTAAATCAAAAGGCTAACCCAATGACATTATGCTCCAAGTTTGGTGAGGACGAGAAAATAAAAGGGCATCTTGATTATGGAAAAATCTGTCCATAAGATCCAGTTGTAGGATATTAGTGATTGATGGAGGAGGGCCTAACCCATTATGTGTGGTGCTATTACTGTTCTGCTGGCCCTGGTTTCTATGAGAAAGCAGGCTGAGTAAGCCATGATGAGCAAGCCAGTAAGCAGCACCTCTCCATGGCCTCTACATCAGCTCCTGCCTCCAGATTCCAGCCCTGTTTGAGTTTCTCACCTGACTTCCTTCAATGATGGACTACAGTGTAGAAGTGTAAGCCAAATAAATCCTTTCCTCCCCTGGCTTGATTTTTGGTCGTAGTGTTTCATCACAGAAACAGTAATCCACAAACTAAGACATTCATTTACCTAAGTAAAACTGTGTAAATTAACCCCCTAAGTTTGCATATTTGAAAATATCTCTGTGGCTATGCATGTAGTTAATGGAGATTCTGGTTAAAAATAATTGAAGATGGGGAACCAGAATTGAAAAGCTAAAGTAAAGGAAGTCCCATGTCTTTTAACATAAATGTAAGTATTATCACCATTAGTGATAGCGAACATGAGAGTATTAGTATAATTCTTTTCTAGATGTGTACTGTTCAGTTGTCTTTGTTGTGTAAATAGTGAAATTGAAGCACAGGGTTCGAATTCATACCCAAAATGAGGTGCTCATGTGTCAGACCCTAGAACTGTTCAACAGCAGCTCCTGAATTCAGTGCACTTTCCACTTTTAACAATTGTGCCTGGTCCGTTCTGATGACCTCCTCACCCAAAACAAGGAGCTATTTTTAACTTTCTTAATATAATGGCCATTCTACACGGACCCAGTGAATTCTGCACATGGTGAGACCACACATATTGATTTACCTTTCTCTGTGACATGCTTCAGCTTACAGAGGAAATCGGAAAACTTGAAGATAAAGTGGAATGTGCTAACAATGCCCTGAAAGCAGACTGGGAACGCTGGAAGCAGAACATGCAAAATGACCTCAAGTCAGCATTTACAGACACAGCCGAGGAGAACATCCGATACTATGAACAGGTAAGCCAGGGTTCTTGAAAGCTCTACCCGGTTAAATGGTAGGCTCTTGAGAGTCCATCTGCCCTGTTGAAAGAGTCGAGGAAAAAGCCAGCTGTCACAGCCCCAAGCCTCCTTGGTCACCCAAGCTAGTTTGTTCCCCTGCCCATTGATTATTCTGGAAGGATTTGCATTCCTCAAGAGGGTGGAATGGCCCTGATGGTTTTCTTGTTTTCTTCTTTTCTGTGTCTGTCTCAAAGAATTTACAAAGGAAGAAAAAGAGCAGATGTTTGAAGGCATACAAAATCAATCCATGCTACTGCTGACCCCTGTGATTCTGCTATCCCATAGCTAATAGAGCAACATGGGAAAAGCAGCTACTCTATGTATCCATCTATAAAAGAGTAACAAGTATTGTGGGAATTACCAATACAGAGCCAGGTAAAAATATAAGGGAATTTATTAGGGAAAAGCCTTACTTACAGAGTGACCTAGCCAGCCAGTGGGGCAGCAGTAAGTACAGCAAGCTGAGGATGAAACGGAAGAAGGGAAACCCACGTGAGTGCCCCTCACTCTTAAACCTTCTCTACATCACCCTGACCACACCCTTGCAGGCGTGGTCAGGCACACCTGTAGCCAGCCCTTAGCAGGCATGGCTACAGTGTACCCTACAAACAAGTGTTTGGGGGAAGGCATAGTGTTTAGTTAGCATTTTTCTTTTTGATAATCATTTTCAATTTTACAACTAAGTGTTCCTCAAAGAAGTTACTTTCTTAAATGAATTTCATAATGTTATCAGTTTTCCACCCAACATAGTCTAAACATACTTTCCTGGAATAATATTTGAAATTGAGTTCCCTAACATTACCAGTGAACAAAAATAACAAATATATGCAATTGATAGATTAAGGAGTTCATACTATATACCTACAATATTTACCATTTTAAAAGCACTTTAAATTCAAAAGTTATCTGTTTTGAAAGACAAACTGATATGGACATTTTCATAAAATGAGAATTAAATGAACACTTACTATCAACCAAACTTTATGCAGGAACCCTGAAGAGTGAGTATAGCATGGACAACAGCTCCTTTCTCATGGAGTTGGAGTTAGTATAGGAAACAGCTAAAACAAGAGATCCTAAAAATTGCAATGCATGTTCCAGTACAGAAAGTCATTCCAGGGACATTTAACCTAATACAAGGATGGGATGATGCTCAGAGAATAGGGTGAGGTTGGGATCTGAATGTTGAACAAGGCATCTGCACATGAAGATGTGAGAAATCAAGGTTCAGGAACCAAAACCCATGGACAAAGACATAGAAGTGAGCGACACATTCAGATCATCTTGCTGTGTTGGAGGAAGGGGAGGTCATGTTGAGTTAAAGATGAGCTTGTTGTAAGTTTAGTCTCAACATTCCTCCTAAGGTGGCCCTTGGGTTTTTAATCTGATGATGCCCATCATCTCCCTCCTTCTTGTTGATTTGTCATGCATACCCTTAAGCAATTCAAATATCTGAAAGTATCTCGAAACCTATGTTTGGATGATCTAAAATATTTCTCTTCAATAAAGTCCTTTTAGCCACATAAAGTGTCAGTATCACAGCTGTTTAGATCTGCAGTGTTCATTACTTCTCCTTTGTGTTCCAACCTGGGCCTGTTTACATATGGACTTTTAGTGGCCATCTGCTGAGATACGCATTTGAGCATGCCTTGTGGAGTTGGACAGGTACTCAGCAGTTAGGAGCATGGTCTTTTCTTCCAAAGAATGTGAGTTTCACCCCAAGTACCCATGTCAGGCCACTCATAGCTGCCTGTGGCTCCATCTCCAGGACATCCAATGTGCACGTGCGCGCGCGCACGCACACACACACACACACACACACACACACACACACACACACAATTAAAAATAGAAATAAATCTTTTTTAAAGAAATAAAATGCCTTGAAAAGTGAGACTGTGTAATAAACATGATTACTATTGTGAAGCATAAATACATTAAGATATTAAATCTGACAAGTACAACTAATTTTTTAAAGGTAAAGTCTGCTGAATTTTCTAAGTTTGGCCTTTTTTGTTTGGTTGAGTTTTCTTTTGTTTGCTTGCTTCTGTTTTTGAGACAGGGTCTCACTATTAGGCGTTACTTGGGAGAGTTATTTGTTTTTGTTTGTGTAACTTAAGAAGACCCTGCTCCAGATTTTTGTTGTTGTTTTTTCAGTGGTAACTTTTAATGTATCTGGAAGGTCAATCCACCAATACAGGACAAGGAAGTTGACACCCTTGAATAATTAAAATGTCTCAGTTAGTATAAAAGCCGTGAAGGCCTAAAGATCAGTAGTGTGCTGTCATCTGTTAACTTCAGACCATCGCAGATATATGGAGAAATGAAGTATTTCATGATCTTTTCATCCGGTTTAATTTAATCACATTCTCCCAGAAATACCTCTGATTTCTTCAACATTCACATAGATAAATCCCCAAAGGGCCTGTTCCTATTGCAAATATAAAAGGGAGTTTGTACATCTGCCTTTAGATTTGCTTATATGAAGGAAAATGATCACAGCTTGTATAACTTCAAATTTAAATATCAAAACGAAAGAGGGAAATGAGATTACACATATGCGGAGTGGGCCTGAGTCACACGCTAGTGACTGCCATTCTAAAATGTCATACCTACATTCACAAATTGGCAGGAGACAGTTGACTCTGGCTAAAAAGTGGATACGTAAAAAGTGACTCCATTGTTTTCTATGTGAAACCACACCCAGCTTGGAGAGTATAGGCAGGTATCCATTCGCTTCAGTGCTCTGCTCCACACAGTGTGTCTGCAGGCATTGTCACTGCTCTGAGAACATTGTGAAATGGGTTTCCATAAACTGAGTGACAGGGGATTTCAATAGGAGATGAAATACTATGGGAATACCTTCATGGGGGCACTCTGTCCTTGACTGAAACAATGTGAAACCGGACATGATTCTACAACAGCATCCAAAGGAAATCTTGTTGATGTGGTAATGTGACAGGGATGTTGAAACAGTACAATAAGGCATGTGGAACGAAGAGAGGGCATGTTTTTCTCTCTTCCTTTCTAGCTAAAAAAGAAGTGTGGTTTTTTGTTTTATTTTATTTTATTTTATTTTGGTTGCTCTCAATGTTTATTATAGAGATGTAGAAAGCTTCAGAGGAAGTTGATCCTTGAGAAGAGAAACAGTGGATTTGAAGAGAACATTCTTATGGAAGCTTTCTTTTAGTATGATTGAGTCTACTGAGCTATCCTGCCTCCTCTTACACATGAGCTTTGGGTACCTCCTTGGACTTGGTGGCAGTACAGTTAGTTTCAAGATAGCATTGTCATGGCCCTGGATTTGGGCAAAACTAGAAAAAAAAAAAAAACAATGACTGTTTGAGTGGGAAAGTAGTCTAGCGACTTCACTGTTGTCACTAAGGAGTTCATAAGCAGCCCTGATTTCCCTGCCTTTGCTTTCTTTGTCTCTAATACATCAAGAGCAGCCTGACAGTAATAAATAAGTAAATAAATAAATAAATAAAATAAGAGTAGGGAATTCACAGAATTCACCAGAGGTACCCGGAAGTTGTGGTGAGGAGTGGAGTTAGTAAGGGATCTGAATTTCAGAACACTGTAGCTCACAGCACTCTTTGCATATGCCCAGGGTTCCTATAGCTGAGGGACTGTTATGGTCAGCCCTGCTCGAAGTGTCACATGGAGCATCTCCTTTGGCTTTCTCTTTAACTCCACCTCTACACCACCCTTCCCAAGTTTCCAACAATGGAAACTTTTAATGGTGATTTTTATCAAGTTGAACAGGTGATAATTAAGTGATAATGAACAAATCAACTTTATTCCTTTGCAAAATTTATTTTGGTATCACTAGAAGGTATATAAAAAAGTCATTGTCTTATAGCCTATTTTTCTAGTTAAAAGAAAAAAGAAAAATACATACTTACTGAAAACAAACACATAGAAATTAAATAGTTACCTGGTTTAAAATAAAGAAATAAAGGTTCATAACCCTATTTCTTTACAGAAAAGTAGATTTGAATATAATTATAGAAAATAATCGCTAGCATAAGATTATCATACTCGTTAAAATGTTTGCATGGTCCTTTCTGAAAGTTCTCACATGAAATACATTATTTATTTATTTTAGGCCTTGATAATTAAAATGATTATATTTGTTTTTTCATATTTTTAGTTGTTTTACATAATTTTCAATGTACTCATAATTGTCATGTAACATATTTATAAATCATCATGGGATTAGATAATTCCTTTTTCTTAGAATTTGAATATATTTTTTCTATCATAATAATACTATTAAGCCAGTCAGGCTGGCATATATGTGTGAGGGGACAGTCAAGGAATAGCTGCTTGTGAATAGGGACTGAGAGAGCCCGGATGCCGGCGTGCACTTGGATATGCTGGTACCGGACACAGATATATGTCAGTGGAGAGCCATATGTCCATTTTGCTAGGGGCAAGGGAAACTGTTTCACAATTTCCTGAAGAATGCTATCTTTTATCTAACAGCCAGAAGTTCTTCTGTAGTCTATCTTGAATTGAGCCTAGACTCAATATTGGAGCAAGACAGTGGACCTGCCCTTTTGGGAAGAAATAGTGTAGCATTTGGCGCTGACACCATACACCTGCAGTCTGAACTATCTACAAGGCTGGGACAGAAATACTTAAGCACTTGTTTAATAATAATAATAATAATAATAATAATAATAATAATAATAATTTCTTAAGTGATTATTAATATTAGCTGTTGAAATTTGGGTTTATGAATTTGAAATAACCAGAGCACTGGTGACTACATTTCAGATGCAGGCAGGAAGCCTGAGGCAGAGCAATAGGGTACATGAACAAATTACAAGTCAATACAATGGAAATGAAAATTCACAAAGAAAATGCTATAAGGAAACCCATTATATTATATACTAACTTTAAAATAAATAAAAAAGAAATGACTCCAGTATTATCAGTTATTAGTAGTCCAC